TGTATGTCAAACCATGAGATTCTATACCTTAAATATATACAATACTTATTTGACAAGTCATTCTTTAAAAGTGCAATAGGGTGATAGTAGCTTTTTTTTTTTTTTTTTTAAAGAACATAAAGAGTTGCTTTATATTTCAGTGGCTGCATAAGATTTCTGACCTTGATAATTTTAACCAGTTCCTTTATGGTAGATATTTTGGTTACTTCTTACTTTTCGTTCTTGCAATCAATGCTGCAAAGAATACACTTGCACAAGGTAATTTCACACATCTGTGTATCTATCAGTGGGACAAATACCTGGAAATTTATTCAAAAGCTGTTTCCTGAATGTCTACTGAGTGCCAGGTTGAGGACTCACACTCAGGATTACAACACGCTTAAGTTGCACACTCAAGTTGCATCACGCAAAGTGACGCAACAATGCATGATCCATTGTTGTGAACCCCAGTGGTTCACGTGGTTGTCAATATCAACAGTCAGGGCACAAAACAGCCACAGCAACCAGGGGAGGCTGTAATCCACGCGGTATCCATTGGACACTAAAAGCACTGCTGCTTTCAGCCCCAATTTTGGGGGCCGCCACAAGAGCTCTGTACTTTCCCCCCCAACTTTCCACATCCATCTGTGAAAACCAGGACTTTTCATGTCCCAGGGAGAGGCTTCCCAGGACACAGCGCTTTCGGTGCTAAAATCGGGATAGTCCTGTGCCAACCGGTCAGTTGGTCGCCCTTCAACTGTTTCAGCCAAAAAGCTTTGTAAAATTTTACTTAAAATGTGAAACTTGGAAGGAACACCATCGGAAATAACTTACCAAACTTTATTGTCTGTGCTTGAGAGAATGGACTTAATGAGAAAACACCCAGATGAACGTGTATTGGAATTTGAAAAGATGTTACCAGTGTAAGGCTGGGGAGAAAGTCTGGAATTTTAGGCCACATGTCAGATAATTTCCCAAATGTTTTACTTTGGTGATAAGTTGTCATGTTCAGTTATCTCTGGCTGGCGCACAAAAAGATGTAAAGTAAATATTCAAAAGTCTTTTCCGTATAAACTTTATGTTTACCACCATATTTCAAATAACTACACATTGAAACAATGAAAATAGGAAGAATACTTGGACCTCGACAGGCTCCCTATAGCGATGGAGCTGCAAAAGAGTTTAGAAATTATATCAAGCCATGTCTGTATACTTCAATAGAAATTGACTGTTAAGCTACAAAACTTCTAGCATGTGTTAAATCGTTTGATCATAAATAGTTTGTTCAGGGGAAAAAAATGAATATATTTAAATTTTTCATTTCTCTGCCGATGTATGTATTGAGCTAAATGACCATGCTGTTTGTAAATTATTTTGAATATCATCTTTGCATGTATATGGTCTCAAGGTTTCTTTCCCATGCAGGCCCTTGTTTAGAGGTGGAAGGGGTTCTGGAAATCAGGATAGATTCCCTTCAGCTCTCAGTTGCTTCCCTGATTCTTCATTGGGATTTATCCTATTGCAGCTCCATTTCCAACCATCTTGAGTGCCCAGGAGCAGGGGTTGGCCCACTCTGTATGAGCTGGATGGTAAGAAGGGTAAGTGACTCCAGTGTCAGGTGGCAACCCTAGATCATCTTCTTTTCTTCTCCTCTTGCCAGCCCCCACCTCACAGTTTGCCAGTGATTGAGAGACTTGAGGCTCCTTCCATCTGCCAACAGAGTCGATCAGACCCATGGAGATCAAATGCTCTGGATTTTCAGGGACAGGTCTAACTACATCTAAATTTTATCATTTTGAAAACTACAATTTGTTTAATGTGTGGGCAAATATGATTCAATTTTTATATCTTTATGAGGACTCATGTGCCTACATTCACAAACCAAAATAAAGTCAAGAGAAAAAAAGCAGGACATAAAATCTTATTTATGGTATGACCTTGGCCATCTAAAACATGCATATGCACAGAATATAAGAGGGGAGCAAATACATTGCAGTACAAACCGTGGGAATTTATGGGGATGCGATAACATTCGACTTTCTTTCCTCTTTCTTTATTTCCACAAACTAATCTAATGTGCCTATGTTATATTTTCAATGGAACATCCAAAAATAATAACACCTTTTTCACATCACTTTTTTCTATTTTTGTTTTTAAAATATAGGTTTTGTAGAACGGGACAGCTTCTCACCTCCCCTTTCTGTCGAGGATCCATCCCATCTACACACATACACAGGCACATATGCACACACACACACACTGGCGTATACAGACAGGTGCACACAGGCACACACACAATTTTGGGAACTTGTCTCAGTTAGCACCCTGTTCTACCACTAGCGCAGCAGTGAACAGAGGTGTGACATTTGGTGGGGCACTATGGAAAGATTGCCACCCCCTGTCCCAGGGTAATGGATCGCCAGGGATAGAGGACCCCCTAGGCAGAAGTTCCTAAAGAGTGCAAGATTCCTTTGCTATGTTGCTATTGCCTTGCAGATGGTGCTGACTTTGGTTAAGAGGTGTGCCCTTGGTTCTGACCCCTAAAAACCTCTCTGCACCTCAGCTATTTTCTCTACCAAGCTTACATATGAGAGAGTTAATGATTCCTTTCACCTCGTTTCTTCTAGGTAAGAAAATTTCAAGCGCACCACCCTCAACGTTCTCACCAGAGGTGCGTGTTATTGTTTACATAATTTGCTGCATGTCCTTCAACAAGAACAAAAAAAGTGATTTCTAAAAAATAAAATACGTTTAAAGACTCAGGAAGACATCCCCTTCTTTCAAAGTACTTTCTTTGGGTAAATAAACATTGCTTCAAGTTGCAGAGCCATTTCCAGCACCATTTGCTTAAGGATGGCTTATTTCTGCCAGAATCTACAACTGGCATGACATCTATGAATATGTGATTGCTATTTCACAGGCATTTTCCATATTTCACTTGCTATTGTTCCCGTGAACGTGACTATTTCTTATTTTTTGTGTTCCTCATCTCTTGCCCCCACATTACCCTCTGTAATGCAAGCATTTCATTTTTTATTTTTAATTTTTATTATGGAAAATTTCAAACACATATTTTGCAGAAAGAATAGTACAATGCACTCCACGTACCCATTAAGTTCAAGAGTCATCAACTTCAGCAATCATTAACTTTCTTCAATTCTTGTTTCATCCTATCCCCCATCATACTAGAAAAAAAAAATCTTTTCTTTTTTTTTCCTGGAGTATTGTGAAGCAAAGTGTAGACATCAACCCATTTCATCCAGAAATACACTTTAGATAAGTGTATTAGATAAATTTATTTTATCTAAATAGATAAGGACCAGTTTTAACATAACCGCGGCACAATATCATATCCAGGAAAATGACCAAGACAGACTTAAAGTCATCCGCTACCCAATAAACTTGTTCATTTCCCCAACTGTCTCACAAATGTATTTGTACATTTCATTCGATCAAATTAGAATCTGAAAAATTCCACACATTGCATGTGGTTATGTTGCTTAGAGTCTTTTAACATATTACATCTTCCCCTCAGCATTTCCGTGCCATTTATTTGTTGAAGAAACTATAATCTGCTCACTTCTTGCCAGGACTGGAGAAACAAAGGAGTCTTGGTTTAGAAGCCCGGCTGGGGCACGATGGCAGTCATGGTTTTCCTGGTCCTTGGGCCAGAGGGTTGGGTCTAGGCAGCTTTTTGGGTCATTCCTTTCTTCTTTTTTCTACTTTAAAATTTTCATTTAATGTGCTTAGTGTGTATAACTTTTATAATGAAAAATAGAAATGTAAATAGAAACAAAGATCCTTAATCAGACCATGTGCGCTGGTTTTTATTGTCCTTGTGGAATGGGTACATATTCCACATTCCATTCATAAGAATTAGGGCCCATCTCTCCCCATCAAATTTTGACCCACAAACATACACACCAGTCCTGGGAACTGTCTCAGTCAGTTACTTTCCGTCCTTACCTCCAGTGCACCAGAAGAACTGTGGTAAATCTTGGCAGGACCCCTCAGAAAGGTTTCTCGCCTCTACCCAAGAGGGAAGATTCTTAAACACGTCCCTGCATATTCCCAGGAAATAAAGGCCCCTTGGGCCCACTCCATTCAGATCTTACTAGGTTCTCCAGGGAATAGCAGTAGAAATTGGAGACTAGTGTATCAGCTATCATCTTCACCTCTGGGGCTTCCTGCCATCTCCTCTTGTTTTATATTCAAGAAAGGAGCAGTCCCACCTTGGCACTTCTCATCTAAGTAGGATCAGCAGAGGTGACAGGGGCCGGGGTAGTAGTGTGCGTGATGGTTTCACCATCTGCTGCTTTTAGGATTGGGTCATTTCCAGAAGCGAAGTCGTATAACAGGCATACTAGTTTGAAATAATAAATATAAGGATTTGTCATTATTTTTGCAACAAATCTTTCACCTTCCAACAGTCATAACGACCCTGGGGTCGGGGGAAGTGTGTATGCCCCCTTGAGAAGGAGGATGACATGATATAGGAGAATTGGTTCACTGGCCCTTAGAAAGAAGAATTGAAATAAAGTGTTTCCTTCCCGGAAGAAGTATGGGAAGGAGAGGGGAGAGAGAGAGGAGAAAATTAGTTACACGTGTGTGTCTGGACATCATCTTCTGAAAAATCCTGTAAGTGGGGGTATTAGATGGATGGGAAAGCTGGATATAGAGGCGGCACGTGCCGACAACACTGGGGCCATTATGACTGTTGGAAGACGAAAGCTTTATTGCAGTCTGTGAAGACACTTCACTCAGAGTGGATATGGAGAGATCAGACCCACGTCTGCACTCCTGAACCTTCCTCAGCTCCCACGTGCTTTAGAAGACATCAAGAATATCTCATCAGCCTCATGGAAAAGTGCAGAAGGCAGCTGAATGTTTGTTGTTGAGCACATCAGAGTCACTCTACTTGGGATGAAGGGATCTTGGAGCACGTTGGTCTACAAAGTGGGGTATGCCTGCATACAAGGTTGGTTAAGAGGAGTTATTGTAGGTGTGGAAAGGAAACATTAGAAATTCTGAGCATATTTATTTTTTTATCACATCCTTTTAAATTTCTAAGTTTAGTGTATGTTTCATGAGGACCATTGCATACGAATACAGTGTCACCAGTACATAATTTGTAAATTAAGAAATATACATCTATTGGAGATGTGTGCTCAAAAATCTTTTATTACTGGTGCATGTATCAGATTCTCAGGGCTGCTGTAACAAATTACCACAAACTGGGTGGTTGAGAACAACAGAAACGTATTCTCTCACAGTTCTGAAGCAAGGTGTTGTCAGGGCCACGCTCCCTCTGAAGCCTCTAGGGGAGGATCCTTCCTTGCCTCTTCCTAGCCTCCGGTGGTTGTGGCAATCCTTGATGTTCCTTGGCTTGTAGATGCATCACTCCAATCTCTGCCTCCATCTTCGCATAGCATGCTCCTCCACATGAGTCTGTGTCTCTGTGTGTTCTCTATTTTTTATGAAGACACATTGGATTTAGGGTCCACTCTAATCCAATATGGCCTCATCATAACTAATTACATTATGCAAAGACCCTATTTCCAGATAAAGTCACATTCTGAGGTTCCGGGTAGACATGAATCTTGGGGGCACACTGTTCAACCCAGTACGATGTATAATGAAAAATGATCAGTGACCATTGTTGGGGCAAACGTTACCCTGGTTACCCACATTGGAGTCGACTCTGAGTTGCAACCAAATCTCAAGGGGATCCATAAGTCTAGCAAGAGAACAGTCCAGTAAGAAATCATCGTTCAAGTTGCATGGCCACATAAGCAGAATCCAAAGAATAGCACTCAGACTGAGGACGCCTCTGTACGGCCGCCATGATATCACTTAAGCCTCACCCTTTCTTCCAATCCCCAGACATCATTTTATAGAGGAGAAGGAGAAGTAAGTAGAACTTAGAATTGACCCAATAATTGCCTGAAATGAAGCAGCCGAACTGGAAGAGCCCGAAGAATCTTTAATCATGAAATGCAAGTAGTCATCCTCTGTCCACCTTTAGTACCTGTTGGAGAAGCAGGATCAGTTATGGAAAACAAAGAAGTCGTTTTGTCTTAGCACAACAGAGTGTATTGTATTAAATGTTGAGATTCTGTTAAGAGTCTGTGTAAATGTGCCTCCCTGTCAATTTATGGTGTCTATATCCCTCTAGTGGTTTCAAACTTCACCTAAAAGCTGGCATATCCCATGCTAGCATTTTGAACCGGCTCACAGACAATGGAGAGCGGTGCCATTTAATATTTAAGAGTAAAGTGCATATCTTGGACTTGGAGAGACCTGGTTTCAAGTCTTCATTCTGCCATTTAATAGTGACCTTGCATGGCCCTGCATAAGCGACCTAAACTCTCTGAATCCCAGTTATCTCATCTGGAAAATGGGGGGGGGGGTTATAAAGCCTATCACAAAGGGTTCTGGTTGGGGTGAAATTATACACTATAAATACACGCCCAGAACCTTAATAGGTGCTCAATTGATATAGGCTGTAGCTATGAATGACCTTCCTTCCTCATTCAGGAATCTGCACGAGGATCAGGGGAGAATCCTGTACCACCTTCAGAGCATCCCAGCAGCTTTTCTGGCTTTGCTATTGCACGATTTACCCTTAGCTTAAGGATTCATTGAACATGCTGTCTAAGCTTTGGTGGCCTTCATATTTTAAAATAATTCCATATCCTTCGTGTAAAGATGAGTGAGGTAATATTCTGCTGTCAGCTAATTTCTTTGTGGGAGTACCTCACTAACTTGAAAGTGTTTATCTTCACTATCATTGACACCTTTTCCACTAGATGCTCAAAAAGATTCATTCACTCACACACCTAATGTCTTTTCACTGTTGAATAGGCATGAGGTACCATTCTAGGCACCTGGGATATATCAACGAATGAAGCAAACACACAAAATCCTGACCCCATGGGGCTTGCATTCTAGCAAAATGATGATGAGAGGATTGACCCCTGGACTGACCCTCTGGCTGTAGACACTCCTGTGATTTCCAGAGAAATCAGACAGGACAGAGCAGCTTTTTTCCCACCTTGGTGGGAATGTGACCAGCTTCATAGTGCACTTTCGTATCTATTATTATATTTAGCAATGATAAGAATCACAGTATCTGCTCAGCCCCACTTGCACTTTACAAAGCAGTTGCATACACCGCACCTCATTTAATCTCCCTAGCCATCTTCTTGAGTAGGTATTATCATTGTTATATCCAGTTTACAGTTGGGGATGCTGAGACTCAAAGAAGTAAAAGGCTCTGTCCACTGTCACACAGCTCAGCCAAAGTGAGGAAGTCAAACCTTCTGATTCCAAATCCCATTCTTTTCTCAGGGGCGTAAGTAGTACAAGCAGCCCCAACCCATGAGGATTGAGAAAATGGATAATCATAAGCCAGGGTGTGCAGGGAAGGGTTGTGTGTGTGTGTGTGTGTGTGTGTGTGTGTGTGTGTTCACCCAAAAGGTGTTTATCAAAGGAATGAAAGGCAATTGCCCCAGTGCAATTAGTGACGTTTCCTCAGCCCTGGGGGCTCCCACCCACAGCCAAGGAGCTAGTACCATACTTGACGGCCTCCTGGTTGACTCTGCCAGTCTGAGGATGGGTGGCCGTCGTCCTCCATTCCCAAGCACCACTCACTGGCAACAAGTTCCACACTCTTGATCATGTGGGAAAGGGAAATATTGCTGTTTCCTATCCATATCCTTATTAAGAGATGAGCAACCTCTTAATAAGGCCTGCTAGAGCTGGAGTGGGATTGGGCATAGATATGGTGAAGGAGCTCACAGCAGCCAGTCCAACCTTGACTTCTCTGCCTTAGGAGAGGGACACGACAGCCCCTGAGTTTGCTAGCACCATTGGCGCCCAAAAGCCATGAACATGACTTTTGGCTGGTGAGTCCTCCCTCCAACAAAGCAATTCACAGTAAGGTGCAGTGGAAGGGGAAGGCTACTGCAGTCCATGGGTTCTGGGCCATGGTATATATGGTGCATCCCATTAGTTCCCCCGTTGCTTTCCCATCTCCACTTTGGTGCCAACTGCGCTCATGGAACTGTTTTCAGCACACATGTGGGGACACGGATGCTGATGTGGATAGACTGTAGGCTAAAAACTCTAGCATAGAAGTCTAACTGGGTCCCTGCTGTAGGTGCAGTTTCTTCCACTCTCCTGCATTGCCCAGTTCTGACAATTTTCTTAAAACTGATAATTCAGAGGCATTTTTTTCAAAATCTAATTCCTGGTGTTATTCTCACATAATCTCATCACTGATCCACACACTTCTTGCCAGGACTGGGAGAGGCAAACGGGTCCTGATTAGAAGCATGGCTGGGAAATATCGGGCATCACGGTTTTCCTGATCCTTGAGCCTCAGGGTCTGGGCAGCCCCACTCCCAACCGCTGGAGTTCTGTACCCTGCCCTGTGGGAATCTACAGAGAAAGGGCAGAGGGCTTTGGGTGTATTAGCCACATGGTGAGGGGAAAGAGGGGGCCGTTCCTCCTCTGCAGGCAGCATGAGCTGGATGACCAGGACCCTGTGTTGAGGGCCCTCTGCTGTTGACGTTCTTCAGGAGATTTCAGTCTATGTATTTGTTAGCTACAGGTCCCGAGCCTCATATCAAAGGTCGGCACGTCATGGACTGAGGTTTTCTCAGGGAATCAATCCTATTTTACAGAGCTGGCGGGAGGAAGAGGGAGCTGGGAGATCCTTTGGGAGTTCTGAGGAAATCTTCGCTGTGTTGGCAGCTCGGTGTCTCAGGGTGGGATTCCACTGCCGTCCTTCCTCACTCCTCTTTTTCCTCCCAGATACCTGTCTGCTGCCTTGCATGCTGATTTCCTATTCCCTGTCCTGGCGTGTAGGTTGTTTGTACTCCTTCATCGCACCTTGCACGCGTGCACTCTTCTTCTTTCTGAGACAGGATCCTTGACACTAGCGTTTGGAGAGAACAGCAGGTATGTCTGCTTTCTCTTCGCAGCTGCGTTTCAAGGGGGCTGTGCCAGGGTGGAGGGAGGTCTCACAGCAGGGAGAGGAATCAGGGAACAGCCAACAGAAGGAGCTGAGAAGCAGGCTGGCATGTCTCTGACCTTTCGAGCTGTCCAGGCTGGGTGTCAAGAACTGAGTTCTTTTGTGCTCCAGGGCTCTGGAGAGGCGGTAGGTGCCACCTACTCACAGTAACTGCTGCTCAGGATCTGGAACCATGTTTCCCACCGTCAACTTTCCCGCTCTACCATTTCTGAGGAAGTTGTGTGTGTGTGCATGTGTATGTGTGTGTGAGAGAAAGAGTAAATGTGTGTGTGTTTGAGCATGGGTGGGTGTGTGTGTCTTCGTGCGTGCTCGTGTGTGTTTGTGAGAGAGAGAGTGAGAGAAAGCCTGTCACATCATTAGCTTCATATCTATGTATTCTAGGCCTGGGAAGGTAAGACGCAGAGGCTTAGAAATGCATCTCTAACTTTCTTTCTTTCGCAAAATTTGGATAGTTTTGGTAGACACAACTTGCTTCTCCTTCTTGTGTGTGTGTGTGCACGCACATATATGCGTGTGTGTTTGTCTTAATGAGTGTCCCTGTTTTTGTAATGTGTGTTAGTTTCTAGGTATGTGCACATGTGTGCATTTACGCATATTTCTGGGCACCATACCCCGCTCTGAGATTTTCTCTCTCCTTGTGTGTACCCACGTATATATTTGTGTACTTGTGTGTGGCATGCGTGCCTCTAAGGTGCCTATGCATTATTAGATACGTTTGCAAGTGTGGAAGTGTATGTGGTGTGTTTATGGGGTGTACATATGGTGAGTGGGCACCTGATTGTGAATGTACACTTGAGTGTGTGTCTGTCTGCCTTGGAATGTAAGCCAATAAGCACACACTCAGAAGTGAAGACTGGGGTGATGTCCCATCTGGGAGAGTCTGAACAGGAGGTGTGAGGCAGCTGTCTGTGGGTATACGGGTATGTGTGCACACCTTTAGGGAGAGGTTGATGTCTTTCTGTATGAATTGGGAGACAAAGTGGAGTTGTCACCTGCTGGGGGGAGGGAGACTTTATCACTTTGGGGGCCCAGGACATGCTTGTCAGAACTCCTCTGTCAATGAACTGAGAATGAGAGCTGGAGCTGTTGAAAGAGGAAGGGACAGCAGAGAGGGCAGGAGGGTCAGAGAAGCATGCAAAAATAGGAGTAGTCAGACAGGCTTCCAGGAGTGAGAGCACAGAGCAACCATGTCAGGAGTAAACTTGAGGGTGCTAGAGTGGCCCATGGTACCCTGGCTTCTGTGAGCTGCCTCAGGGACTGCGGTGAGAGGGGCAGCCCAGATGAAAGGTCAGATGTGGCCAGAGAACAACAGGAAGAGGTGCTGTCGCCAAGGTGCATGGGAGGAGGGTGGATCCTACCAGAGAGCAGAAAAGGAAACAGGTTCTGAGGCAAAGGAGATCCCCTGGCAGGCTGGGCTGTGGTGACACCTTCCACTTGCCACAGCCTGAGGGTCAAACTTGCGTGGACTAGCCCCAAGCCAAGCTCCGGGGTCTGCGTGGCTGAGATGTTCATCGGCCTGAGGTGATGTGTGGACTGACTTTGGTGATCAGCCTTGGGTCAAAGAGCAGTTCTATCCTGATGTTTGTAGGGTCTTATTTTGCTTATTGTTTGGTCTTTCATTTTGCCCCTTAGTACAGTCCCTTGAGACAAATCATAATTTTGTCCTGTATGACCTGAGGAGAGAGGGAATTCCCCCACGACAAGGGTGTGGAGACCAGAGTTCAGGAGCAGCCAGCTCCTCTGAACTGCCCCGGATGCACATAGAAGAGGGGCAGCTGTGATAACGGTTCTCTCCCCTACTAGGCAGTTCCTCCTCAGCAATGCATTAATGTGTGTATGTGTGAGAGTACAAGTGTGTGTGTGTGTGTGTGTGTATGCTGTAAACTGCCCAGATCAGGGTTTGAGAGCTTCCAAGTACTTGGTGCATTGTATTGGAGACTGGGGACTTGTTTGCAGATAACCATGATAGGAGGGAAGGAGGTGAGGGGGACTGGTATCCTGAGAGGGGCAGTGTGGGTTTGGCGGAGCTGCTTCAAAGTCCACGTTTTTGTACAGGGTTAGAGATAGGGACATGTCACGCACCTCTGCACAGAATGCAGCTTGGCTCTGGCACGTGGGCCCTGGCAGCTGTGCGAACTGCTTGGGGGCAATGTCGACATCATGAGGGTCATCGTCTTACTTGGAGGCTCCATTGAAGCTCTCTCAGGGCACTTCCAGATTGCTTGTTGGAGACTATAGTGAACAGATAGGTCTCGATAGCAATTTGTGTCACCCTTTTGGGACTCCCAGACACAACAAGTATGGGAATTTTTGCCAAGGGGGCTGTGAGATCAACAGTGATAATAGAGGGGGGCTCTGAGTCACTGTACATGTTTGTACCGATATACAGAAAACTGATGTAAATGTTTACAAATATATGTGTGTCTAGCATTAAGTATATATATATGTGTGTGTGTGTGTGTGTGTGTATACATATATATAGTTGTTATAATTTGTATCATATTCGTTGTCATCTTCCTGACTATGCATTGAAAGAGTACACACAAATGTTAGCACAGATAACCTCTGGATGGTGGGATTAAGGCTAAATATTTCCTGAACACTATACTTTCAGGGCTCGCAGAAATGTGTGCAAGAATCACGAAGCTTTCCTACAATCACAAAGTACAAAAAGCTACAAAGTAAGTTCCATCTTTCCTTGACTGTCAAGGCCCAGCGGAAGTCTTGGCCGCTGTGATATCTTCCTTTTGAACTCCTGTACTGCTTCTTGTTCATACAACTCTCTTGACACTCTGTCAGCAATCGAATAATTTGGTATTTCTTCTTCTTTTTACTTGCAATTTCTTCTTATTTAATCTCCTTCATGATAAGAACCATATTTTGTAATAATTCCCTTGAAATAGCAACCACTGATTGAATGTCTCTGATGGGCTAGGCACCGTGCCAGAGCAGAACAGATGAAATTGCAGTCTGTGGACACTTGCTGCCTCGCAAAATTGTGTCACCAATCTGCGGTAAGTACATAATTTGAGAGTACATGTTTAGAAAGTTCTATCGTCTATGGTGAGAGTCTCTATGATGTTTTAAAAAATCGAGGCTTGCACTTTGTGTGTCTTTGCCATTTTTCTTCTTTCTATTAATTCATTTTCCTTGCATCGTACAAATGTATTGGTCCATGAGTGCCTGGCTTGGAAAACAACAAATACTTGTCGTTCACCGCAGACAGTTTGAGAAGCAGCAGTCTAGGGGATTTGTGAAAATCAGCTGATTCATTTTCCACAACATGTCTATAAAGCAGGAGGCATTATTCATGTTTTTGGCGGTGTACACAGAGGCTGACACAAGTTAGATAACTTCTACTAGGTCCCCAAGGTATCATGTAGACACCTTGGGGTTTGGGACCAGCATGTTTCCACCCAACTTGCATGGTTCACCTCAACTGCTACTCCACTGGTGCCCAGCACTTGTTTGTCTTATCAGGACTTCAGAAGTGCCGATTACACAATCCTGGTGGCTGCTCTCCACTTCACAGCATCATATGGGGCCAATGATGCCTCCGGGCCAGCTCGATGACAGCCTTTATGGCAGGCACTGCAGCAGGCTGGGGGGCACCTTGGAGGAGTTCATCTCTGAAACGAGGGACACAGTTTCAGGCATGTTAACTAAAGCACCATGTGAAGGGAGAACAGAGTAAAACGATACTAAATGTCCATTTGCAGAGGAGTGGGCACCTAAAGGCCTTGATCACGATTTCTGGGTCAGGGCTATTGGAGAGGGTAGAAGGTGAGTGTGTGCCCTAGAGGAGCTCATCTATAAAATAAGCTGCCTTCCAAATCTGGGTCTCCTATGGCCCCGTGCCCTCTCTTCTTCCTCTGTTCCTTTCTTCTCAGGGAGTCTGAACTGATTCTCACTGGCTCAGATCAGCCATACGATTATGCCTCTCCTGGCATAGGCCTGGACACTGTGACCTGAGACCCAATCCTGTGAAAGCCTTATCTGGAGATGAGGCTCCACTTCACTGTGAAGCTCATTCCTTGGGTCATATTAGATGGGAACTTTTGCCAGACAAGTTTGGTAGGGAGTGGGAAGATGACAGAATGAAGCCGACTGGAGGAAGCCCCAAGGAGAACAAAAAGACTGTGCATGATTTGCAAATCATATATGTGACAAAGGGTTAATCTCCATAATATATAAGGAACTCACACAACTGAACAACAAAAAACCAAACAACCTGATCAAAAAATGGGCAGTGGATAATTTTTCCAAAGAAGATGTACAGACGGCCAATAAACACATGAAAAGATGTTCAACATCACTAATCATCAGGGAAATGCAAATCAAAACTACACTAAGATACCACCTTACACCCGTTAAAATGGCTATAATCACTAAGACTGAAAATAACAAATGTTGGAGAGGGTGTGGAGAAAAGGGAACCCTCATACACTGCTGGTGGGAATGCAAACTGGCGCAGCCACTAGGGAAAACAGTGTGGAGATTCCTCAAAAAACTCAAAATAGAACTACCATAGGACCCAGCTATCCCACTACTGGCTATCTACCCAAACAATTTGAAATCAACAATCCACAGTAACATATGTACCCTATATTCATAGCAGCACTATTCACAATAGCCAAGACATGGAAACAATCCAAGTGCCCATCGACCAATGATTGGGTAAAGAAGATGTGGTATATATATACAATGGAATACTACTCAGCCATAAAAAAGACAAATTCGTCCCATTTGCAATAACATGGAAGGACCTGGAGGGAATTATGCTAAGTGAAATAAGCCAGTCTGAGAAAGACAAACACCAGATGATTTCACTCATATGTGGAATATAAACATACAAATGGACAAAGAAACCAGTTCAGTGGTTACCAGAGGAAGGGGGGTGGGGAGTCGGCAGAGGAGGTGAAGGGGATCACTTAGGTGGTGACAGACAAGAAATAATGTACAACTGAAATTTCACATCAGCGTAAACTATTATGAACTCAGTAAAAAAAAAAAGACTGTGCATGAGTGAGAGTGTGTGTGTGTGTGTGTGTGTGGCCAACACTCTAAAGAATAGTGTTCCAAATGGCACAGTGGCCTTTTAGTTTGATCAGAGTTGTTGATGTCCCCAGGGAGTTACTGTCCTGGCTTGGTCAGCCAACAGGCCTCCAGGCATTAAGGATGTTCTAAAAGTCAAGGAGGAGAGGATAGTTCTATGGTTCTGGGATGTCTGTTCCACTTGGAGCTGGGCCAGCCTTCAGAGGAGGGGTCTGTTTCAAGCAAGTCAAGATCGCAGAGGTTCTATCCCCTCAGCCTCAGACTCAGAATAGAGCTCTAGCACTAAAGTCATACAGTGTCATACAGGAAACTGAGGCAGGTGCTCGAGCATACAGGCTGTGGCTATCATGTAGTCATTCGAAGCAGCTGTGGTTCAGTGGGGAGGCTTGGTACCAGTATAAGGGACAGCAAGAGTAATTCCACGCTCTGCTTTGCCAGCAGGTCTGAGTCTAAGGTTATAAGACTACCTTGAGAGTCAGACCATTTGGGCTCAAAACTTTACTCCTCCGGTTGTTTGCTAAGTGTCCTGGGCCAGTCCATCTGACCACCTTGTGTAGCACGTCTCTAACTTGTAAAACGGGGATCACAATATAACCTACATTATTGAGTTGTTTGGAGTATTAAATGTTACCAGGGTGTCCTGAAGTGTGCCTGGCACACAATAAGATGCTCAACAGACATGGAGGCTCAACAAATAGGCAGGTGACTTACCTCAACTAGAGGAGTTCAAGGGGGCCAGAAAATCTAGCTGACCTCTACCCAATCCACTAACCACATGATTTGCAACTCCTTGTGCATGCTCTAGTGCTCCTCTTTATGCAAAGTCCAAGTGCCCTCCTGCCTACTCAAAGTTACTGCTCCAACAATTACTGCTCTCCAACAGCTACTGCTCTGCCTCCCCTGTGCCATTGATTTTGCTCCTCTCTGCTGAGTTCCTCCGTTCAGCACAATGCTACTTCTTCCATCTGTAGTAAATCTTCTCCTGACTCTCTCTTCCTCCACCAGATGCTGCCCGATTTCTTTGTTCCCTTTTGCAGCAAAACTCCTTTTAAGACTTGTCTGTACTCACTGGTTCCTCACCTCCCATTCTCTCTTAAATCTGTCCAAAGCAGGCTCTATCACCCAATCCCCCAATGAAGCTGCTCTCATCCAGGGCACCAGGGACCTCTGCATTGCTAAATCCAACTGTCAAGTCTCACTCCTCCTCTTATCTCACCTGGCATCAGCACTTTGAGCATAGTTGACCACTGGCTCTCCCTTGATACGCTTTGCTTCATGTGGCTCCTGGGACACTACACTCTTGGTCTGCAGCACTGGTGACAACTTCTCAGTCTCCTCAGCTGGCATCTCCTCTTCCCCCCATCCCTTTATGCTGCAGGTCTCTGCCCATGATCTTCTGCTCTTCTCTATGTACACTCACTCCCTAACCAATCTCATATAGTCTCATAGCTTTTAAAGGCCATCTACACATCTTAGGTGCAACCTTTCAGCCAAATTCCTGACTTCTGTATTACTGAATTCTAAACAATTGCCTACTCAACTCACATGAGTGTCAAAGAGACATCCTGATTCAACAGTCCAGAGCTGAATTCTCGATCCCCTCCCCCACCTATAAAACCTGTTCCTACTACAGCATTCCCCATATCAGTTGACAGCCACTCCATTCTACTAGCTGCTCGGGCAAAAAAAATCTCTGGACTCAGGTCAGCCTTGACCCCTCTCTGACACTCCACATCCAAACCATCAGGAATTCTGTTAGGTCAACCTCAAAATATATCCAGAAACTGAGCAATTCTCACCATATCTACTCTTACCAGGATGATCCAAACCACTGTCATCTCCAGCACAACTTATGGCAATAGCTTCCTACCTAGTCTCCCTGCTCCCACCCTTGCCTGTTTTCACTCTATTCTCAACATAGTAAGTAGTCAAAGTGGTCCTTTCCAAAGGTAGGTCAGACCGTGCTACTCCTCTCCTCAATCCTTCACTGTCTCCCTCCTCCTGCCTCTGACATTTCACGCTTCACTGCAAACAGGACCAAACTCCTTAAAATGGCCTAATAGGCCCTACATAATGTGAGATTCTGTTAATCTCTCTGACCGTATCTCCTTATCTCCAACTCTTGCCCTTTTTGCTCACTCCACGCAGGCCACACTGGCATCTCCATCCTTCTTCAAACGTGCTAGACACTCCTGGGCCTTGGAACCTTCGCACTAACTGGTCCTTCTGTCTGAACAACACTTCCTTTATATATCAGCAAGGCAAACACCCTCAACTTCACTTCCTTGCTCAAATGTCACCCCTCCAATGAAGACTACCCTGCACACTTTTTGGTATTGAATTTTATGCTCCCTTTCTTTCCTGGCATTTCTGATCCACCTTACCCTGTTCTGTGTGAGCTTACCGCTGCCCCCAACCCCCGCACCCCTCCCCCAAACCAGACTACTTCTCACCTTCTAAGGTACTGTATAATTTGTTATTTAAAAGGTTTACCTTTTATTTCCTATTTTCGTGCAAGAGAGCTTGTGATTTGTTCATATATGTATCCCAGGTGACTGAAACCATGACTGGCACAAATGGACCTTTGTAAATACGTGTTGAATGAGTGAATGGATGACTTGTTAGATAATCACAACATCCAAAACAATGTAGGCCCAGTTATTTTTGAGACGTTACAGAATGAATCAAGACTCTCCTTGGTCAGAGTTTACAGGGGGGATTTCAGGCACTTCACATGTGCTGCACATTTTGAGATAACATTTGCAAGGGTGTCATTTGTCACAGGAACTGAGGCAGAAGTTGACCAGTCAAGAACTGGGACCGATTTTCACCAGCTGGTTGTGGGGTCCACTTTCCCTTCCAAACCACCCTCTGTGAGGCTTATGCCTGTTGGGCAATGAGCAGTACAATCCTAGAGTCCACTTTTCCTCCCCAAACTTGTTCTCCAAGCCCTGGATCACTCCAGAGTTATTCTCCTGTATAGCTTCGGCTGAGCTGAGACCTTCCTTTATGCAAGTGTCCTCACACAAATTTTCAAAGAAATTCCATTAGCTCTTTGATGTTTAACTGTTTCACGGCTCGCGAGCCCTGGAGTAACCTGTATACAGGTCTCAGTACATCTTCATACCAATAACCCTTCTTTACCGCCCCCACTACTTCAACATCATTTCCTTCAGAGAGCTAGAATTCAATGCTTCTGCCAAAGGAAGGAGACAGAGGGATCCTGAACACTACCCACCTCACAGGGGTGAATGTGAGCCCAGGCAGAATCCATATCTATCTTTCACCATGACCATGGTCTGCCCAGCACATGACTGCTGAGGC